CAGTTAATTTATTAGCAAACGAGTTAATAAATGTATTCTAACATTTTCCATTTTTACCCCTTGTACTAGGCCATCAAGGCTTACAGTATCTGTCATGTCCTTGCCCGTATTTATACTAATTCATTCATATCTTCTGCATTGGTTAGTTGTGTAATTTCGATTTGGTCGAATGTTTTTTCGAATTTTATTTTTTTTCAATTACTTCTAACTTTAGAAGAATTCGGCTATCATTCAATAAACTGAACAATGTCACTTTTCCGCTATAATCCTCGCGATTATTTCTATACCTCACCGATGGAACGTTTCATAGTAAATGCTCTTGACAGCGCGTTCGGTGACAGATCTTCATACCGACCGCTTCAAAGTGTCGCACCATACTGGCTACATCAGCCGACGTTGAACGAATGTAATATCGGAAACGCGCTTGGCGAGGTAATTGTAACTTTTCATTGAGACTTCCCATATTTTTAGGATACATGGGATATTCATACTAATCACATGGTTTCACATGAAATGTCGTCCTTTGTCCTTTTTTTGTTTTTATTGTCCCAAAATTTGCCTGATCACTTAGTATGTAAGGCAATAGATCGCGAAAGTCTCCTTCGAAAAGTTTCAAATGTTATAATTTCCAGATATTGGATGAGAAAGACAAGTTTAGAGTTCAAATTGATGTTTCCCATTTTCATCCCAAGGAACTTTCGGTATCGGTTCGAGATCGTGAACTAAGTATTGAGGGTCATCACAAGGAGCGTACTGATCAGTCGGGACATGGTAGTATCGAACGTCACTTCGTTCGGAAAATATGTTATGCCAGAAGAAGTGCAACCTGACACCATCGAGTCACATTTGTCCGATAAAGGAGTGTTGACAATTTCTGCAAGCAAAACAATTGCCGGCTTACCTGCAGCACGCACCATACCTATTCAAGCATCCCCAAAAGGACCGGAAACAGGTGAAAAACCGACACCGGATGGCACAGAACAGTCAAAGTGAAAGTTTTGCCTATGTTCCATCTACATAGTACTCTTTATTTATTTATTTTTTCTGTGCATGTTACAAAGAGAAAATGTTTCATTAATTAAAATTGAAGGTGTATTCGCTCCCCCGTCTTTATGAACAACAATAACTCTTAGCATTCGCTGTAATTCTTATCGTTCCTTGTCATTTATAGTTCTGCCAGTTCGTCTTGGGCGATAAATCCCTTATTTAGATCAACCTGAATTTTATACATCTTCAGTTTTTCAGTCTTGAATTTGTGAATAATGGGTAACATTTAATTCTCATGTAAGTTATTTTTACCGGATGCCTTCTTGAATTGTTCATTTTATTTTATTACAAAAGCAATTAACCTTTTTTCCGAAATGTTTCGTATTTATCCGTTTCGTCGTTCTTAACTGTATTACTGGGTGGATAATTACATTTTGCTTTTGTTAGTACTGCTGATATTTTATTGAATAAAAATATATTTTTAATACTTTAAGTTGTGTCCTTGGTCAACATGTCGAGTTATTTGCATTACTGTGGATTATTCGAACAAAAATATAGATTAAAGATGAATGCTTTTCATATTGATATACTACGAAAAGGTTAAGACAGTTTTTAATTTGAGTAGGAATGTTAAGTCTACACCTTTCAAATCCATGGTTTTTGTTCAATACGGCAAAATGATGTGCTCCACCAAATTTCAGAGATTTGTAAAGTTCTTCAATAAAATTATGGCCCTTTAAAGCGTTAATAGAGTAGCCTTTATGGT